ATTATAGTTATTGTAATCTGACATTTATTATATAATTAAAGCTAATTAGATTAGCTTGCATGTTTAATTAATGTTGTACTTGCTTTATAAACATACATGAAAGAAAGAAAATAAATTCTTATTTTCAGACATATATTTTACCTATTATCAATCAAAAAAGAGGAATCTGAATCAAAAAGAATTATTGATTGTATTGATTAAAACAGATAATTTCAATAGTAACAGACATTTCATTGCCACATCATTATAACAACAATTTATTAGGATGTGCACTGAGTTTAATAAAGTAATGAATGTCACTCCAAAAATATATTCTACATTTCACTTTTATTGAAGCATCATCAGGAATAATAATAATACATAATACAAAGAGACAAACAGTGCAAGTACAATTTTAAAATTAACAAACACTATAAAAAATTGCATCACAAAAGCATACCGATCTAATAACAAAAAATGTCAAAAGTCAAAATAAAAATTTTACCTCAGCCTACAATAAAAAAAAAAAAAAATCAATAGTCATACCAGACAAAATGTTGATTTTATAGGATTTTTATGAGCTTATTATGTGCAAGCACTGACTATTCAACAGCGAGACACAATGTTCCCTGAGCGCTCTCTGGTGTGAATTTGCGAAGCTTTACATAAATACCAAAAATGGAATACAGTGATTAGTTGATAATGTAGAAGAAAGCAGCTGCACTGCGAAGACGGTTTGTGATTCATGATAGTATCACCGGTAAACACGACTTCATAAAATTCCGTCTCCCCATACCACATTATTAAACTCTAATATTCCGAACCACATTCCGTACAACATGCCATGCAGCATGCTCTTTATGCATCGTTAAGCTCCTCTAATTCTGTTCTTCTACTATTATTATATGTATAGTGTTACATATGTTTGAATTGGCATCTTGAGACCTTCCCAAGTGGATATATGTACTATGTAAATCCTATTTTTATTATTACTTTTATGGTTTCCACTAAATGGTTTGATTTACAACTAAATTTTATGATGAATACAATTATTGTATTACTTTCACTCTCAAGAAATGATCAAAATGTCTTATAGTTAACTCTATGTTCAGTTACAGCTGCAGATTAATTTGGTTATAGGCAATCTCCGATATTATCCAATGGTAAACATTCTTGACAGTGCAAATCAGAAAAAAGTAAATAAAAATTGTAACAATATAAAAAAATAACTTCCTTGTAATAGCATCATCTGTATTATATATTTCAAAAATACTAAAAATACAAATTAATTAAACACACATTAAACACCTCTACAGAACTTGCTACTGCAATTACTTTTTCCACTAGATATGAAGTTCAACTCCCCTACTACAACAATCTGCAGACTGACAGACTGCAATTACTTATGTCAAGAAAAACCGGTTTAGGAGCTACAGCCAACAAAGTGGCAAGTGAGGAACCTTTGATGCCATTGAGGTTATTTCCACTGATATCAAGCAATTTTAATTTCAACACAACTCCCCTACTAGAACACTCTTTAACCACATCATTAATTACAGCACCAGAGATACTGCAATTTCTCATGCGAAGATAATTCAGCTTAGGAGCTACAGCAAGCAAAATGGCAAGTGAGGAACCTTTGATTTGATTGAGGTTATTTCCACTGATATCAAGCAATTTTAATTTAAACACAATTCCCCTACTAGAACACTCTTTAACCATCTCATCCATTAAAGCACCTGAGATACTGCAATTTCTCATGTCAAGATGTCAACATAGATATTTTGAAATACGAAACTGACAATGATGCACGTGACTTTGTAAATTCTATCTTTAGTAATAATTTTCTTCCACGTATCCACAGATCATCTCGCATCACTAAGACTACTGCTACCCTCTTAGATAATATAATCACAAATCAACTTGACTACCAAAATATTAGTGGATTATTCTATAGTGACATCTCGGATCATCTTCCCGTTTTTAATATTACACCTTTTTCCAGCGTTCAAACAAGGAAGAGATAACTACATCTAGAAAAATAAACCCTACTACATTAGAATACTTTCGCCTCGACATTTACTGTCAACAGTGGGCTGATGTAATTAGTTCCCATGATCCCAATGACGCTTACAGCAAGTTTGAAAAAACATTAAAGTCCGTTTATGTTTCCCCCTTCAAAACCATTCATCAACAAATAAAAATAAAAAAATTAAATCATGGATGTCGGATGGTCTCCTCACATCTATTAGACACAAAAATAAGTTATTTGCCAAATTTCTGCACAGCCCATCCACCAATAATGAAAGAGCCTATAAACAATACCGAAATAAACTGAATTCAATAATTAAAGCTTCTAAAATCTATGCACTATCAAAATATGTTTCTTAAGCACAAAAATGATGCCAAGGCTACATGGATGACTATTAATTCCATGATCAACAAAACTAGTATGGAACATCCCAATACTTCCCTAAACTGCGACGGTGATATGACAAGTGACCCACTCAATATTTCAAATGCATTCAATAAACATTTTGTTGAAATTGGACCCTCCCTTGCTAATAAAATTCCCCGAATTGATACATCATTCCAAGATTTTCTACCTAATCCCATTCCAAATTCATTATTCCTTAGTCCAGTAGATGAGCTCGAAGTGATCAATATACTTAATTCATTCAAATCATACAAATCTCCTGGTATTGACGATTTCCACACCAAAGCAATTAAATATGTATCTGACCTTATATCCTATCCATTATGTCACATTTTCAATCTTGCCCTGTCTAATGGAGTGTTCCCAGACAGGATGAAGCTAGCGCGCGTTACCCCTATATTCAAATCTGGCAATAAATCTGATCTATCTAACTATTGTCCTATTTCAATTCTATCAATTTTTTCGAAAGCCTTGGAAAGAGTCATCTATGACCGTACATTTAAATTTATTTCTAAATATGACATACTCTACAACAGGCAGTTTGGCTTCTGGAAAGGTTATAATACTTCAATGGCATTAATAGATCTGACAAACAAAATTGTTCAGGCATTTGAAAACCGACAACTTTCGATTGGAATTTTCATCGATCTTTCCAAGGCTTTCGATACCATTGACCACAGCCTTCTTTTGTATAAATTATCCCACTATGGAATCCGTGGACCCGCGCACAGCCTTTTTAAAAGTTATCTTTCTGACCGTGCACAATGTACTAAGTATTCCAACTCAATATCCAATTTCAGACCAATTACATGTGGGGTCCCCCAAGGTTCCCTACTTGGACCTCTTCTTATTATTATATATGTTAACGGTCTTTATTTATCATTCAAAATTCTTGATTTTTTCCTTTATGCCGATGATACTACCGTTTTTTATTCTCATCATAATATCCAAACTTTATTTGATACTATAAATTCTAATCTCATTCCCATTTCACAATATTTTGCTGCAAACAAATTATCCCTGAATCAAAGAAAGTGTAGCTTCATCCTGTTTGGGACTCCTTCTAAACTAAAAACCATTGACACTTCAGCCTATAAGATCCAAATTGATGGCCATGAAATACCCTCTGTTAAATCCGCCAAATTCCTTGGTATTCATATTGAGTGTTGTTTGTCATGGAAAAACCCATGTAAACGAACTCGAAACCAAAATTTCCAAGAGGCTTGGCATCATTTATAGGTTATCCACTTTTTTACCCCTCAATATTCTTCGTATTCTCTATTGTTCCCTCATCCTTCCTTTTTTGACCTATTGTAACATTGTTTGGGCCAATACACACTCGTCCACATTACTTAAACTGCAAATTCTTAAAAAAAAAAGGCTATCAGGATAATATCTGGCTCTCTACCACGGTCTCATTCATCCGATCTATTCTCAAAAAAAAAAAAACAAAAAAAAAAACTCAATTTATTCCAACAAGGCTCATTTATGTATTCTGCAATGCATTCTCTTCTTCCAACTCAGTTTAACGATATATTTATTCTCAATCACTCTATTCACAATTACCATACCCGATCAACTAGAGTTCATATACCCATTCATAATACAAATCCCTTTCAGCACAATATTAGACACTCAGGTCCCACTTTCATCAACAGCTTACCATCTACAATCTTAAATTCCGTTTCTTCTAAATCTTTTTCCGCAAAGCTTAAAAAACACTTGATCTCAAATTATTAACTAGGCCTTTGATTTACAGTATCGGTCATTTCTCGATGTGTCCCGCTATGATCTAAGATTTATGCATTTATCTATTTATTTATGTATTTACTTATTTATTTATGTACTTCTTATTTATTTATTTTTGTGTGTGTTACTTTTTTAGTATTTATTAATTCTGTAGTAGTTAATATGCAGGTATAGTGGCACAATAGAATATTACGTCATCATAATTCATAATTATTTATTAATAATTTTAATAATTTTATTTTGCACATAATGGGTTGAAGCATATGAAGGGGGTATATGAGGGTTTATTGAAATATTAAAAAAAAAAGTGGTATTAATTAAGTGGCGATGTGTAGCGTGACGTGTTAGGTTTGTCATGTTCCCTTAAAATTTATAGTCCACTATTGTGTGCTCTTTAGAAATTGGTTACATTGAGAGTGAAAATTGAGACAATAGGGAGATTAGTCTGCCAGTGCTGGATTTACAGTCACAAAAGAATCTTCTTCTTCTTCCCGCTTCTAACTTCATGTCATGTGTCATGCCTTTATTCCTGTAGTGTATAAATTTAGAAGAAATTTAGGGTAAGAACACAAAATTAGTTTCAACTACATACAATTTAGTGTTTACTTTACGAATACC